GGACGGCCTAAAACCTGCAAGAAAGAGTCTCGGGTATCTCCCGAGGGTAGACTCTCCGATACTTAAGTCAACAAGGGAATAAAGAGAGTAGAAAGAGAATGATGTGTATGGTGTGTAAAAGGTGTAGAAGATAGGTAGAAGATGTATTATGGGAGAGACACCACCTCTTTATATAGAAGTATAGAAGTGGTGTTACCAGTTTCTTGAAACCCTAGCGTAATAAGTTTAGGCGGTGATTTAATCTCCGAGTAACCTAATCCTAGACCCATTGGGCCTAGGGTTTATTTTGGACTCGTCAAAAATAGTCTACATTAAGTTTAGAGTTTTGTACTATTTTTAATATAAATTTGAAAACTCAATGTGAACTATTTTTATGCGAGTGAGTTATTAGTATTATTATTATTACTCTCTCTGTCCCATAATTATTGTCCAGTTTTACTAAAATGAAAGATTTTATTTTTGGTCAAATTTAAATATATTTTACCTCAAACAACCGGATATACCCCTACATAAGTAATTGTTTAGCCACTAAGATTTTATGGATAATGTTTTTTACTAAGGACAAATGTGTAACTTGATGCATAAAAAGTCAAATTGGATAATAATTTTTGGACAAAATTTTTTGGGCAAAGTGGACAATAATTATGGAACAGAGGAGTATTATTTTTTTTGAAAATCATATTGCTGGATTGAATCAAATGAATTAGGCGGACCTACATAGGAGCTCGGGTATTGACAAGGTCGGCCGAAAACAGAGAGGCAGCTGCACCAAGGACAATCGAATTGTCAATAACTAGAGAAGGGAGACGGGGAGAGGGAGGATTTTTAGTTTAACAGAAATTAGAAATTGTTAATTCGATCAGCAATTAATTAACTAAGTAGGATGGGTTCACACTTCACAGGGGTGTAACTTGGATAAAATAGGGCACATTATGTGTAACTATTATACCCAGAAGGCCGGAATCATCATATTCCTTCCGATCCTTAATATAAAACATTTTGATTTGTTCAAGATTTCAACTAGTACGTATTTTAATTGGCAAAAAATCTTAAAAATGATTTCTAACAATCAAGAAAACATAGCGAATGTGAAAATATATTTTAAAAGTTTTTTTTTTAATTAAAAATACATATTAGGTAAAACTTATGACAAATTAAAATACAAGAAGCACCGGAGAAAGTATTACAATATGCTATTTTGAGTGATAATTTCTTACACGTCAACTCAAAATATATTCAGAAATATTGATAATTTATTCGAATTATTCATTGAACGCCCTTTTGATATGGACTGAAACCTTTAAGAATCTCTTAGCCACACCAATAATCAATTTGGTCGAATATTTAACATGCGAAAGTCCGTCATTTCTTCAGTCTACTGCCTTGCTATGATCCTTTAAATTGGTTCGATCAAATCAAATCTTAAAATTTTGTACTACATTTCTATCCGGGATTAGGTTAGAGGTACAAATCAACGACAACTAGCATGACTGATTTTAAGGATTAAACTAAAAAAATAAAATTTAACTATTACTTTTTTTTTTTTTACATGTTTTGGTCAACTAGGATTTTCATAGCCATGTATTCATATCAGTTTTTTTGTGCCTTCTAATAACTATTAAATAATGTCTGCTGATCGTATAATATAGCAATTTGGACAACATTTTACATTTTAAAGTTTCTTCTATTTATTTATAGTCATCCTTCATACATTGACAAAAAATTGAAATGAGTTACCTTATTTTAATAATATAGCTGCATCGACATTTTATGATTTATCTCACTGAAAACACCCAAAACGGACCCATTGACATTGTTCAAGGCAAGCCCGCTGCAAAATGAAATTTTCTCTTGGGTAAGGAAAAAGTAAATAGTCATTACTGGTTCATGTACGCAATCCACGGGTACGTATATAATTTTTTGAAAAATTTCAACACTTTTTTTTTCTTTGCCATAAATAAATAAGTAAATAAAATAAAAGATGAAGTTAATTTAAATGACATAATTAAAAAATAAAATAAAGGAGTAGCAAGTTTAAAGGAAAGTTAAGGGACTAGCTGGCAGCTATTTTAATCCAAATCTTGTACATAAAATTTGCTAATTTTAGTTTAACAAGTTTTCAGTACTAGTTGATTAATTGGTTTCACGAGCACAAGATTATTGTTTACACAAGGCAGCCCTGCAATGCCAATAGTTTTGAAATTTTGCACACAATGACATCATGCAGAGCAATCATCATTAGGATTGCTTATAAGAAACAAAAACAGGTTTTCTGTACCAATCCCACTTTAATAGTTTAATTTTCATTTCAACAACAATAAACTTTTTTTCCCACTAGGTGAGACTGGTTATATAGATTATATGTCGGCATGGTGTTCAGTCAATATAAATTCATCACTTATATTTAAAGTTTTCTATCATTTTTTTAATAATTTTCAAGTTTTCTAAGTTCTACCCCTAACTCTCATAATTTGAATTGTTGATTCTATAGATATTCCCTCCTAATCGAGACCTCTACTGCTCTCCTACACATATATCCAAACCATCTTAAACTATTTTATCACATTTTCTCATCTATTGGAGCTATACTTACTTTCTTTCTAATACATTCATTTCTAATCTATCTAATTTATTATGCCCACATATCCATCTTAACATCATCATCTCTGCTACTCACATTTTTTTTTCATTCAAGGATGGTTATTTGCAAATAACATACATGTGGGGATGGTTGTTTGCAAATGTTTAGTGATTTCATCGATTATAAAGTTAAAAAGATATGAACTCAATGCCAACCCTTGATGCAAACCAACCGTGACTGAAATTTCTCTAGAAACTTATATAGGAATCCTTACACATGTTGTTACATTATTATACATATATTTTATAGTTTCTATATATCCTACTCCCACGCTCCTCTTTTCCAACCCCCACCACATTATATCTTTGTTATACCTACATATACTTATATATATATATATATATATATATATATATATATATATACCATTACAGGTATCCTAGGTTATTATATTTGTAGAATCTACTGAAGGAGAGGAATTCTACTACTAGGGAGAGACTCCACGCGTGCATACCTCTGATGGACTACTATTTCCCACAATTTCATTATATGGCACATTGATTTTATACCTCTACATTTAACACAATTTTGCATATCTCTTTTACTTTTAAACAAAGTATTAATGCATTCTTCCTCTATTGACTAGACATTTTCTTACTCTTTATGATTATGTTAAATAGTTCCATAAGCCATTGAATCCTAAATTTTCCAAGGCATTTCTACGCCTCTATTGGGATATCATCGGGATCTATGGATTTACTATTTTTTCATTGTTTTCCATAACTTTTTTTTATCTCTTTAATTTGTATTTTCCTATAATATGTGAAATTTTTTTATGTTTTTAGCTTTGTTCTAATTCACCTGCAGTTATTTTCCTACTATCTATTTCATTAATAGTTTATGAAAATAATCTTTTCATCTATCTTTTATTATCTTATCATCAACTAAGACATGTTCATTTTCATTTTTTATGCATTTAATTTCGATTAAATCTTTTGTCTTCTTTTCCTTTAGTTTTGTAATTTTTATAAATATCATTTTCGCCTCCTTACTATCCAATTTTTTATAAAGTTTTTAAAAAATTTTATCTTTGCCTCACTTACTAATTTATATATATATATATATATATATATATATATATCCAAGTTTTCATCACATCTACAAGTGTAGATATGATGTTTAGTAATAAGCATTTTTCTCATTTACTTTTTTTTTTTTTTTGAAAATCTTGATTCTACTACCACGATTCTTTTTTGCATTTATGACCTTTTTGAACTCCTATTTTCCTTTTATCAATTGTTTTTATTTCTTTATTTAACTTTTTTCATGTTTTGTGTCCTTTTCCGTGTTGAAATTTATATTTTCAAGTAAGGCTTTGGTAAACTTCTCCTTTTATATTTGTTATTCAGATTCCATTATTTTATTCTGGATATCTCACGTATTTTTCTCTTGCATATATTTATTTTAATTCTTAGATCCATGACTAGTAACCCATATTGAGTCTTGATACACTCACCCCGTATTCCTTATAATCTTTACAAAACTTTCATCACTTTTCTTTACTCGGAAAAATTAATTTGTGATTTATTAGAGCCGCTTTTAAATATATTTAAGGGTTTATCATTTTTCTTAAAAAAGGTATTACATATAATAAGGCCATATGCCACCGAAATATCTAATATAATTTTAGTTGATTATTTTGTACCCCAAAATCATAACTCCATATACCTCTCTAGAGATTTACTTGTTAGGGTCCTTAACTCTCAATATTACAAGTTTTATTTTTTCTATGTTTCTCTTTTAATTCTCTTTAATTTTCGATCTTTTTCCTAGCTTGAACTACTCCTACACCCTCATGGAAATGTAGCGGCCCTTGCCAAGAGCTTTTGTGGCGTTTGAGGCCTTTTGCACATTTTACACTATATCTAAGTCTCTATATGAATGTAGCGATCTCTGGCAAGACGATGCAATCTGATTCTCTGGTGCATCACGTATAACGGTAGCTTCTTACAATTTATACGATTTCTTAAATGAGCTATATGAGAATGGCGGAAATTTTTTTTTATATACTAACTATCAACCTAACGCAAACCCTATTTATTTACACTAGTTTGGGACATTTAACGGTTAATTCTATGAACTCGAAACTTTACTGCAAGCGGAGTTACTATCTCATTTCATCAACTAGGATATTTTTAAATGGAATGGATGGCGTTCATAAGGTAATTACAACTAAATTTAAATTGTTTGGCATGACTTGTTCCAGGCGCTAAATGTTCACGTTTTTCATTTCATTTCTTTAGTCTCTTGTTCAAGTCATTTAAATAATCATCAATAATTCAATCTGCAAAAACAGTAGAGTTCCTAGTTATAAATAAGTGCCAGTTATTCATCTTCTTCCTACTCATCCCTTGAAATTGCTATATCTAAAGTATATACCTACATTCAGTGCAATCACAAAATGACTAGCCGAACTTTCAGTTCAGAAAAAAGCGAGCAAAGATGGGTAGATCAACTAAACAAGCATTTCATCATTTATGTTGACAATCTTCCAACCATATTCCATGTCCCTAAGCCCATCCGCGACTCGAATCCAGAAGCCTACATCCCTCAGAAGATAGGCATTGGCGCGTATCATCATTTTCGCATCGACAAAAGAAGGCTTGCTGCAGTCAAGGAATTCTTGAAGCAAGAACAATACAACAACTTCAAGAGCCTGATTGTGGACAAGGTAGCAGAGCTCGATTCAGAGATTCGCGCGTGCTACAACCAGTACTTGGATATCGATGGCGATACCTTGGCATGGATCATGGCGATTGATGGCGTTTACTTGCTTCACCTGCTCAGTACATATTCAGCAAAAAAGAGCATTGGAATTGAAGACAGGATTTTAGCTCAGGACATCCTGATGGTGGAAAATCAGATGCCCTGTATTGTGCTGAAGCAAATCAGGAAGGCTTTATGGCCGTCATCACCTGACGCCGCGAAAGATAATGACGCGATAAGGGACGAGGAAGCAGCAACAAAGGAATGTGATTTGGATCTGTTTTCCCAAATGTATTCCTTCTGTAAAGCTCATTCCCCGCTTGATCTCACAGAAAACGCGCGTATAGTAGATGATACATCCAACCCTCATCTTCTTCATTACTTTTATTCTTTGATCGTGAAAAATTGGGTTACTGAAGAGATGAGTCAAAACCAGAGAGGTTTTGATGATGATCCTGACGACGAAGTGACTCCTTTTGTCGGAGACAAGAACAACAACTCTGCCTGGATGATGGATATGAATATGAACATGAATGGTCTCATGGACCAACTCGAGTCCTCTGGAGAGGCGATCGAGAATGGTTTGGAAGAGGTTGCTGGTAGTGCAACACAGCTCGCAAGTGTAGCAGCATCTATATTTCGGGTAAAAGCGTTCATGTTGCTAGGCAATTTACCGGTTAAGCAATTCGCCGACCTCTTCAATAAGGGAGATCAGAAGAAAAACTATCTACTAGAGGAAATCAATATTCCATCAGCTTCTGAAATCCATGAAGTTTGCAAAATTGAGTTCAAAGTCTTGTCCAAATCAGGGATTGCGGTCCATTACAATAGCAAAGATCGGGTACTCTACCTTCCCGTGATCACCCTGAATGCTGATTCTGAAGTGATCCTGAGAAACTTGGCTGCGTACGAAGCGCTCTCAGGATCAAGTTGCCATTTGGTTTCGGGCTATGTGGATTTCATGTGTGGAATCATTGATACCCCTAAAGATGTGGAATTGCTGAAGAAAAAGGGCATCATAAAATCCAATCTGCCAAATGAGGAAATCGCTGGAATCTTCAACGGGATCGCAAAATCCACTTCTATGGATGCTGACATTGAAGGGACGGTTGAGAAGCTGAAGAGCATCGATGACAACGTTTTTAGCGTTAAAGCCTGGACATTTGTGAAAGATCATTTTGTTCCTTCCCCGACTGTTGTCAAGTGCTTGCTGGCAACTCTGATGGTTTTTCTCCTGACTCTGCAATCATTCTGTCAGATTTATGAATGCAATGCTCGTTCCAATTATGGGAAGATGATCAGTTCTTTCCGATGATTCATTGATTTTCTTCCGTTTCAATGTGTTTCATATGTATGCCTCATTGTGAAATACCATGCTTGCTTCAATCACTCAAATTTGTATCCTTCCCCATTTCCAAATTTATGTTTCAAATGTAATAAAATGATGCTGTTTGCCTTTTTTTCTCATAATCTACATATAGGCTCTGTATAGAAAGTGGTTTTTTGTTTTTCTGTTTGTATTTATATTGTCTGTCTAGACAACACTCAACTAAAACTTCTCTTTATAAATGGTTATTATAAGTTATATCCACCATAAAGTTTCCTCTTTCCTTTTGCAATTTCTTAAATGTGGAATCAGAATTCACAGGACATGATGACTATATTCACTAGATCAGCACATATTGCCTCGAAGAATCAAATAGGAGAAAAAACAATTAAGTGAACACAATTGATTAGCACCAAGAGACAGCAAAAGGAAAGAAGAGAACAGATAATGATTGGGTGCCAAGTTTGTGGATCGTGCCATGAGATGTTCCTTAGTCCTAACAACAAACAAATAAGTACTTCTTCCATCTCTAAATCATTGTTCTGTATGATACTAATAAGTTTGAGACACTAAAGTTGAATGATATATTAACACAATTTTGAGCAAACAGAAAACTAGATTTTCGTTTCCACTGAAAAATTCTTTTCTTAAGCAGTTGGATAGGTTGAATCCATGGCAATCTCACATAGACCTTCCTCAGCAGCAACGCGGTTGCATTCTAACGTATCCGATCTCGCCCCAACTTTCGCCCCATGAGTTCTTCACTAACCAGTATTTCGTGCCATCTGTAGCTGCGTAAGGATAAGTTGCTTCTGAGGCGATCCCTTTGTTTTTCACTATGAATGCAAATGCATCTTCCATTTCCCCACCACTGCATCCTTGATCGTCCCTTGTTCTGTCACAATCGACGATTTCTTGTTCGGAGAGTGAAATCAACTTGCCAGTACTTCTTTTTTTTTTGAAATAAAAACTATATTATTTTACTGGAAATCATCCAACAACAATTAATGATGAAAGATACAATCGAAACAAGAACACAACTTACAATTAAATCTATTGCTATTGTTGTATTTCTTGTGGATAAAAACCTATCTAAATCTACCCAATACAACGATGGATATATCACGTGCCAGAAAATCAATATGATCAAGAATATATCTCTAACCATCTGATTAAAGCCCCAAATCATAGATCTATCACATAAATTTATGATAACTGAATCTTTTTGAACCACACAGTATGAAACAACAAACGAAATTACGAACATCACAGTAACAATACCGAAGACACCACAAACACCCTACCCTTTCAATAGATCACAGTTAATCTATTGAACGAATAATACCTGTAAGAAAAAACTCTATCCTCTTAATAGATCACAATTAATGTATTAAAGGAACAATATTTTGGGAACAAATCCCACTTAATTTGGTTATTGCTTCAGTTGCTGCAATGGTTGAAAACGCCCAACAGCTTCCAGAGAAATCAAACCAAAATATGTAAAAATTATTAGTCAAAAAGCAACTTGGGGTCACTCTGGATATATTACCAGATCATTCCACAAGTCCAAATATACTGTTGGCTCGGCCACAAGTCCCTTTACAGCACACATGGATCTACGGCTCCGGACATACTAGCAGATTAGTCCGCAAGCCCATATATACAGCTCCAGACATACTAGCGGTCACAAGCCCCTTTACTGGCTCACATGTCGTGGCCTGTGATACCATGTCAAAAGCAAATTGGACTCCTATATCAAAATCAATTAGTAATGAGTAGCATTGATGAAGAAGGTTATAAACAGGTGATAAATCTTTTACGATAGTGACTTGGAGATTATTTGTCCCAACAATAAGTGTAACAATTCTCTTACTAGTTCATTTAAATAGTTGTGGATTGCTTGAGTTTCTTACCACATTGACCTTGATCAGCTAATCCTTAACTAGAGTGGCTGCACCTTTCGTTCTCTATTCCACCGATGCTTGTACAGCATTCACATATATGTACCTGTCAATTTAATTTTTCACTGTAGTTCTACTTGCTTTCCTAGAGTAGCTGGCAAGGTATATGAAGCCAATTGGTGACGATGTGGTTCCTAATTCCATCCAAATTATGCGGAAATTCAGATATATCTCACATACATACATTTAACCCATATATTATCACTATATCTGTTCATTTTGGTTCCGGTGAATTCTTCAATAATACTCGTGTTGCTCGAAATATGGGTAGTATTCACAAAGGCTAAGAAAATTTAAGAATAAAGAAAGTCAAGACTCGTGAAAACACGATCTCCTTAAAACAAATTTGCCACCTCCTAAGGTGCTTGAGGATCTCGAGCAACTGTTTCCTAGAATACAATGGAAACGCAAAGACTTCTTAGCATAAAGAAACTTTGCCAGCGAACTGGAACTCATAAAAATATGATGAACACCGAAAATACAAAGGAAGAAAGGCTCGAAAGAAATTGAGAAGAGATGGGAGAAAGGTATTTCGAACTTTGGAAAATGAGTGCCTATTTGTTGGCTGAAGAGAGGCTCTGGAAACTTGCTGAAACGTTGCACATTAATCGATGTTCAATTCTGTATATTGAAGGCAGAACGTCCATGCCATTTACATGAATTAAAACAGCAAATTCAAAGCTGAAAAACTGCACAAAACAGTCAGGAAATAACCCACATACTCTCATTAAACAACATTAACTTGGTCAATTAAACATTCACCTGGATGATGGAAAATTCAATCCGAACCGGAGCAAAACGTGGGTTTATCAGCCCGCAAGAGTTCGGTTCGACATTCGTGTCCACAAGTCGTGCGCACACATGAGTCAAGATATTTTGGCCCTGAATTGAACCCTTATTTGCACCCCCCTTTACGCGGGCGCACGCGAGCGGGTGATATGAAGTATAATAATGGGAAGACAACTTGCACTCTATTTTTGGGCTCTCAATTATAAAGTGAGCTTCAACTCCTACCAACACCAACGTGGGACAAAATTTCCTAGCTTAAAATCATTTTTTCTAACTCTTGAGAAATTTAATTCTCATTCACTTCTTATTCATTTCCAACAATCCCCCGCATGAATGAGATTGTTTCGAATCAATAATGATGATGGTGTTCACCAACTGATTTCTGTATAGAGAAAGTAGGTTTTACCCTTTGAAATTCCTACTTGTAAAGTATGCTTGCTTTACTAGCTGTCCAAAACTGTCCGGCTGTATTGTGTAAAGAAACTCACATACCGTACATAGGAACCATTTCTCTTTAGTTTCGTTCTCATGGTTTTGTCCATTTTGGCCATGAACACATCCTGCTTCTGTAAGAGTTTCCAAAGACTGAGCCTTATCACTTCTCCTTTGAAGTGGTCCCACCTCTCTCTCACATAATTGACTTCTTAAGTCTAAAGTAAATGATATTACTCACTTAAGTATCATTAAAGCAACCGTTTGCTATCCTTTCCATCATATCACTGTTTGATGACAGGTATGAGTTGAGATTTTCTCCCACAGTAATCACACTAAGTCTTATGATAAGGTTGTCCCATTGAACTTAGATCTTGGGATCTCCAGTCAACTATGTTGGAATTTCTTTCTTAAGACTTTTATCTCTTCACAGGCTTTACACCCATTCCTTCAGTCAATCTTCAACTGCCTCTCGAATCAACTCTTTGGTTAGCGGATCCGCAAGATTATTCTTTGACTTCACATAGTCAATTGTGATAATTCCTGTTGAGAGTAGTTGTCTAATGGTATTGTGTCGACGACGAGTATATTTCGACTTACCATTATACATAGTACTATGTGCCCTTCCAATCACTAATTGGATATCACAATGAATGCTGATAGGTGGCACAAGTCTTTCCCACTTTGGAATATCCTCCAGAAAATGACGCAGCCAAGCCTCCTCACCACACTTATCCAAGGCAATGTACTTGGATTCCATTGTGGATCTGGCAATTATAGTTTGTTTTGAGGATTTCCACAACACAGCCGCTCCAGCTAGTGTAAACACGTAGCCACTTGTGCAGTGTGAGCCCTTTATATCAGATATCCAATTCGCGTCCGTGTAACCTTCTAACACAGATGGATATCTGGTATAATGCAGTCCATAATCACGAGTATGTCTTAGGTACCTCAGTACTCTAATTATAGCAGTCCAGTGTTTAGCACTAGGATCACTTGTGTATGACCTCAATTTGCTTACAACATTAGCAATATCTAGTCTAGTACAATTCATTAGATATATCAGCCTCCCTATTATCCGAGAATATTCCACTTGGGATATACCCTGTCAACGGTTCTTGGATAAATGGACACTATTATCTAATAGTGTTTTTGCGACTCCAGAATCATTCTTGTTAAACTTGTCAAGAATTTTGTCTATATAATAAGCTTGAATCAAAATTAGAACATCTGCTGTCCTTATGATTTTAACACCTAAAATCAAATCAGCTAGACCCATGTCTTTCATGTCAAACTTAGAATTCAACATATTCTTAGTAGACTTGACCAACTTGTCACTACTACCAACAATGAGTATATCGTCTACATATAAACATAAAGTGACATAATCGTTTTCTACCTCCTTGACATAAACACATTTGTCACACTTATTGATCTTGAATCCACTAGTAATCCTTGCGTGGTCAAATTTTTCATGCCACTTCTTAGGAGCTTGCTTTAGACCATACAAGGACTTTACTAGTTTACAAACTTTCTTTTCTGTACCTGGAGCTCGGAAACCCTCAGGTTGTTCCATATAGATTTCTTCATCTAAATCTCTATTTAAGAAAGATGTTTTAAAATCCATTTAATATATTTCAAAAATTCCTTAATGATGTAATAGCAAGTATCATTCTTATGGAATTTATTCTCGTCATGGGAGAGTATGTATCAAAATAGTCTAAACCTTTTCGTTGTTTATATCCTTTGATTACAAGTCTGGACTTGTATTTATCAATAGAACTATTAGGTTTAATTTTCCTCTTGAGGATCCATTTGGATCGTAAAGGTTTACTTCCAGGTGGGAGATCTACAGGCTCCCAAGTGTAATTCTGTAAAATTGAATCAATCTCATTCTTTATGGCTTTTTCTATAAAGGTGATAACATGAAAATATATACCCTTTTAGC